TATCTCTACTAAATAAACAAACAAAAACAATCAGCAACACATATTCTTAGAAATACTGTGCAGTGGAATCAGAGAGTGGACATCATTCTGTAGAGATTTCATTTTCTTTGCTTCAGACGACACAGGTGGAAAGGTCAGACAGAGACAGGGAATACAAACCATATGGGAGGATTTCCTTCTATAGGCAAACATGTGACTGTAGATTAGATTAAACCAGTCGACCATCCTGAATGCCAATTTGTTTTCATTTCCAACACATCTGACAGGAAGCCTGGTTTACCACAGCGAGTGGCATGCTTCAGCATCATTTGTAGACTGGGCATTAATTATCTAATCATTTAAACACAAACATAAGCTATGAATAAAATACTGCAGATATAAACTAATGATTGTAGAAGAGATTTATATCTTTGTTATTTTTTTCCTTGAATCCAAAATTCTAAAAATCTTAATCAGATCACCGCCTCAGGGCAAGTACCTAACTTTATCAATTCCTGAAAATGTCCATGTAGTGGGGGAACCATGGTTAAACTTGGAGCGGTGGATCACACAGTCCAAATCATTGTTGTGTCTTTTAATTTCCACGTTGCTACTGAAAGTTCAGAGTTGTTTTCTGTTGGTTGTGTTAACTGTGTCTTTGCAGACTGGAGACCACTGATCTGGGATTACAATTTAAATTTGTTTGGCCCAATTGATAATAAGTTATAGATAAAGAACTATTTTGGCCTCATACAGTCATTGGATCATGTTGTTTCAGGTCTGACACAACAGCAACATCTTGATCATTGGGGTAGAAACATTTAAAAGACTGATCACATTTGAGCTCGACCACTGAAACTGTGGAAGAAAACAGCAAATGTGAGAATGCAAATATCAAGTCAATTGCTTTTGACATTTTCTGAAACGCTTCCTGCCAGCTCACCAGTAAAATGTCTGGAAAATGTCAGAGCGGTTCCATGTGAGCATAGAGTAGGAAAATATCCTGAAAATTCACAGTGAGTTAGTGGACGTGTTGATGACATTTTAAATTCGTGATGGATGTAAAACTGGAAGAATTCAAATATCTCAGGTGCTATACACGTAGAAGATGCTGAAGAAGATGCCATGCATATATCCAGGCACATGTCCCTGTTATGATTGTGAATTCTCTTCATATGGAAAAGCCAAAAATCCAAGAGAATGTCCAGACTCAATTTTCGCCTCACCAGAGTTTATATATGAAAATAGCTTTACTCAAATAAAAAGCTCTGGTGATGTATTGATATTTATGTCCTGCTTATCTTGTGTTGGAAGAGATGAGGAAGGCTCAAGTAATTCAGTCTGTTGTTTCTATTTTATAATGTAAAAACTTCTACAGATCTGAGTTTTCATATTTCCTGCCCGTTGAAAACCCCTTTCCTAATGAAACTGCATTTGTTTGCACTTTGAGTGGATGTGTTTATTAGATTGCATTAAGTCATGACTGTGAGAGTTGTTGACCTGGGGCTGGTCAGTGTCTCATTATAGAGAAAATTAAAACAATCAACTGATAAACAGGGGATTCCTTTTTTTAATCTCAGCTAGAGTTATTACCATCTATTTATACATATATAATTTATAACTTATTACATTATGGCTATATGGACAACTTTACCTCTTTTATCAGTAAATTCATTTGTCTGCAGTTTTTCTCTCATCACTGTTCACGCTCTCCAGCCCACACTGTGTTCATCTCTCTCCACCCACTCTAAAGCCCTTTCCTTCATCTGAACCTCATTATTACTACGATTCTGACACTTCTTAATGACTGAATGTTGGACCTCTGGAAGTGGGTTAATGAGGGGGAGTTCATGCACCGTGGCTACCGCAGCATTATCACACAAGTGCTTCCTCTTCTGTCTGCTCTTTGTGGACAAAAACACATCCTACAATCAAGTAGATAAGTGATAATGAAGTACAAACAATGCGTGTGTTGTTTTAACACTGCTGTGCATATTAACCCTTTTCTTTGTTTCGTTCCCTGTTCTTCTTTTTTTTTCATCTCGCTCTTTTCCCAGATGTTTCTGGTGGCTCTGTCCTTTGCCTATTTTGCAAAGGCTCTGTCGGGGAGCTACATGAAGAGCACAATAACTCAGCTGGAGAGACGCTTTGACATCCCCAGTTACCTAATAGGTGTCATTGATGGAAGCTTCGAGATAGGTGAGTAGGCCTGCCAGTCACTGCTCTTATTCTCTTGTTTCTGTTTACCGCCCGTGTGTCATGGGCTCCCCTCCCTCCTCTCTTTCTGTCTTTGGGACAGAAATATGAATGGGTCATATGGGGAGATATTCACGCTGTGGATAAAGGATTCATCAGGCTTCCAAGAGGAGGACAGGTGTAGGTGTGTGTGTGTGTGTGTGTGTGTGT